GAATCAGATTAAAATGTAAATGGGAAATATTTACTAAAATAATTTAAAAATACAACGAAGCACAGGTAACATTACATTTTAAAATTAAGTCAATAAGACCCTTAAGTATGGATCAGTGGCCCCTGACTCTATTGGAGTTTGATACCACTATTGTAGAGGATTCATGTATTGAGGAAAAATTGGACAACACAACTTATGGTTTATTTCATCTCTGTAAGTCCGATTTTTAATATGCCATCAGAAGTCTCTCTGTTAACTCCAATACAGCTAATCATTGATGAGCCTACGAGTGGGGCTCCTGTTGTAGGCCTTACATGCATATTTACAAGTTCACTCAAGTGTCATCCACTGCCTTGGTGGCCTAGTTGGCCCTGAGCCTTGTGGTAATGGCTTTCATAGAACATTGCTCAATCCCATAAGCCCACATAGTTGGTGTGGGTAGTTTCCTGTGGAGATGGCCTCTTGCCCTCCCTTTACCCCCTTCTAAGCTTAGATTTTTGAGGCAGCAGTGCCCACTCCTTATACCTCCAGATGTGCCAAGGATTGGAAGAGGCAGTTATTTTCTGGTGCAGACATTTCCAGTTCCATCTGTGTTTTATAAAAAAAAATCAGAGGATGCATTTACAGGTCCATGTTACTGATTTTAAAATTTATTTCTGTTAGAGGGTGAAATATACCTGTTTTTAGCATGCTGGGGTACATGGGAGTACAATCTTTTAAAATTTAGGCAAAGTGTTTCTAGAGGGACATTAATGAAATAAAGCATGTCTAGATTGGGCAGCCAGGAAAAAGTCATAGGCTAGATCATAGGGTTGAAAACCAGAAGCAACCATGGAGAGCATCTAGTTGAACTGCCTAATTTTGCAAAAGATAAAACAGGTCCAGGTCACAAGGGAAGTCAATAGCTTTGAGAGGATTGAACTTAAGCCATCTGGCTACAAATATAGTGCCCTTTCTACTATATAAATCCATGTGAATAGTGGAGGCAACTGGACACATTTTGGGCATGGGCCAACCTTCATTCCTCTCCTGGCTGTGCTTCTGATTTTCCAGATTTCAATACCACACTCCTACATGGATTCCTTCCTGTCCTGCCCCCTGTTTTCAGCTTCCTTCTCCATATTGTCTTCTCCCATTAGAATGTAATCTCTTTCGGGGCAGGGACCATCATTCTTTTGTAGCCTTAATTATTATTTCCAGTGCTTAGCACAGTGCCTGGTACGTATTAAGTGCTTAATAAATGCATGTTGTCTGATTGTTACCTATATTTAGACTGAAAAAGAGAGAACTTAGAGGAACGTGATACTGGTGTCTAAACATCTGAAAAGCTGTCATGTAGAAGAGAGTAAATTTGTTCAATATAGTGCCAGTGGGACCCAGAGATCCTTAGGATCAGTGGATGCAAGTTATATGGAGCAGGGTTTTAGCTCCATATTAGGAAAACTTTCCAAACAATTAAAGCTGTCCATCATATTGTGGTGTCCAATGATCATTTGATGAATGAAAGAACTAATGGATGTTGCAAACCATTACTCTTTTCCCCACATTTCATTCCATGGCAGGCTCTGTAGTCCACAATTTCCATGGTTCCACCAGGGTATTACTCACGGTAGTTGGTCTTATTCACCCCTTTAGTCGTATGGTAACTTGGGAGATTAGGATAAGAATCAAATGAGATCATATATGTCAAGGACATTAGAACCATGGAGTGGTATAAAAATTATTATATGCTCTTGAATGTCATTTCACTACATTTTAAATGCTGGATTCTCTAATTTTCTTTTATCATTGATAAGCTCCTAAGGTCCCTAATGAGTGTTATCACTTATGAATGGATGGACGCTTGTTATTAATATTGGTAACGGTAATGATAATTGATGGGAGGATCAAATGAGCTAACTTGTGTAAAGCACTTTGTGATAAATTTTAATGTTAGCTATCACCAATATCATCATGATCATCCTCTTCGTTAGGTAGGCAAGGAAAGAGGAAAGCATTACAGTCAGGGAGTGGAATAATGTGGATGAAGATGGGAATCAGGAGTATATAAGATTTCTGAAGTAGACGTCTAGCTGGAGTAGAGGATTTATGTAGAAAGTAGTAATGATTTTTATTTTAATAGATTCTATTAATAATTACCAAGAAATCTTGCCCTCCTGTGTAAGAGTTTAGGGCACAAAATTTGATCTATTTATCCAATATTAACATGGTAGAAGTGTGGAGTGCCTTTATATTTAGTAGGTGTCCCAGGTGCCATTTGTAATGCTCCAATAACAATAACCACACCCATTTCTAGTCCAGCTTCTGCTAGCCTATAGAAAAATGGATTGTTGGTTAATAACCAGCAAGTGAGTGTAGTTTATAAGTTGACCACCAGATCAGCTCCTCATCTCTGCCTCCTGCTTTCCCTGGCTTCTTTCAGATTCAGGCTAAAATCTCATCTCCTACAGGAAGTGTTACTCGATCCCTCTTAATGCAAATGGCTTCCTTCTGTTGGTCAGCTCCAATTTATCTTGCATATGTCTTGTTTCTTCATGTCTATATCTCCTCCAATAGACTTGAGAGCTTCATGAGAGCAGGGACTGTCTTTTGCTTTTCTTTGTATCCCCATCACTTAGTACAGTGCTTGCTGTAGGCACTTAATCACTATGTTTTTGACTGATCAGACAAGCAGCACTATACTTGAGCCGTTAAACAGTTGGTTTGGCCAGTTATATCCAGTAGCCCTGCTTGCTCTTCCCCAAAGCCCTGTGTTATCTCAATTTCCCAACTGCTCTGTTGGAAGCAGGAATTGTGGGAAAGTTACCAGACTTCATGATCTCTAGTGAGCAGTGTGCATGTGAAAGCTTTTGGGAAGTTGATAGAGGAGACTGGATGCATAGACACTGAAGTGGCTTGAGTGTAGTGGCTGCCGCCTGATGGCCAAATCATGACACGTTTTAGTTATTCAAGTGACAGCCTGCTTTTTTTTTGTAGAAGTAGAATAAGAACTATGTATGAACTACTGTTGCTATGGAAGCATTTGTAGGGGGCTGTCTGGGACTAGCTGTGGAAATAATAAAGGGGGGTGGGGAAGGGCCAACGATCTCATCAGCCTTAGTATCACCAGATGTTGAGTATCAGGTGTCGTGGCAGTTGCCAGTCTGGCTGCTCATGCTTGCTGGTCTGTCTTGTTGCAGTAAGGCCTTGGTCTCATCTCCACCCCAGGCTCTGTTACAGCTCTGTCTTTACTTTTGATCCTCACAACCACCCCATTAGGGAGATAGGGAAGGAGTTATTTTCTTCATTTGACAGAGAAAGAGACTGCAACTCAGTTTCTTTCAGTGATGCCCGCCAGGATGATCCAATCTCTAAATGGCAGAGTTGGGACTCAGATCCATGCTAGTCCATGGTTCTTTCTATGATGATTCAATATGAAAATTAAAACTTATTCTCAAGTGGATATGGAACCAGAGATCAAGAAAAACCAATGAGGTCTAAAGAAAATTGCTCCAAACATAACCCAAGATAAATGGGTACTTTTCACATAGCTTTTATAGGCATACCTGAGTACTTTGCTGAAACCTGAATAATTTTGTTGTTTGTAGGGATATTTGTGGTATAAATTAGGTTTTGGTTATTGGTAATAATGATGATTCACACCTTCTTATAGCACGTTAAGGTTGACAGGATACATTCCTCATAAGAACCTTAAAAGAGACAGCACAAGTATTGTTACCCTCATTTTACAAATGGGACAATGAGGCTCAAAAAGGTTAAATGACTTGTCTGTAATCACACCCCTCATATTCTACCTGTGCTGCTTTATGATAAGTTTTAGGTCAGTGACCTAAAGGGCAATGCATGTCAGGTATCAATGGGTTGTCATTTATTTTTACAAAATGTTTATTAATGATGACAGATAGATAGATAGATAGATAGATAGATAGATAGATAGATAGATAGATACCCAAAGAGAAAAGGAGGAGGACCAGTCCTGTAGTAAGAATGGAGAGTAATGGATAGATAGTTTGAATGCTACAGTGCTACCCTTAGGATGCTAAAAGCAATTGAGAAAAACTTTCATTGCATTAGGTGGATCCTGTATGGAGGATTTATGGAAAAAAACACAAACAAAAATCACACAGGTAAGAAAGCACAGGTGAGTTGTGATCTGTGCCAAGGGAGAAAGTACTGATCCCAGTGACATCAAGGATCCATCAGAGCATCACAAATGGAGGCCACGGGGAAGTTAGGTGGCGCAGTGGATAGAGTACTCACTGGCCCTGGAGTCAGGAGGACCTGAGTTCAAATCCAGCCTCAGACACATAACACTCACTCGCTTAGCTGTGTGACCCTGGGCAAGTCACTTAACCCCAATTGCCTTACCAAAAAAAAAAAAAACCAAACCAAAAAACAAACAAACAAATAAAAAAAACACAAATGAAGGCCTGGCTAAAGAACATCTCTATTCTGCTCATTATCCTCAAGGCAGTTAAATGGTACAGTAGACAGAGGGCTGGATCCAAGAGTCAGGAAGACTTGAATTCAAATCTAGCCTCAGGTACTGAGTAGTATAATCCTGGACAAGTCACTTAACCTCTGCCTGCCTCAATTTCCTCAGCTCTGAAATGGGTATAATAACAGCATCTACCTCCTAAGGTTGTTATGAGGATCAAAGGAGATATTAATAAAGTCCTGAGCACAGTACTGGCCCTTAGTAATTGCTATAGAAATACTTATTGCCTTCCCCCCCTCCATTTTCTTTGCTTCAGCACGCTCTATCAGCAAATTCCTAATGAAATCTGCCAGCACACTTTGCAAGACAGTTCTCTCAAGCAACGATGTACACACACAGAGTCTAGCCCATAGTAGGTGCTTACTGATACTTGTTGCTTCATCCTTGATTGTAATCCCAGCATTCACAAGAGCTGTGTTTTGTAGGATCGTATTGTAGAAGAGAAATGTTCAGATGATCTTAGAGTCAAACTGGTATGTGTTCTTTGCCTCTTCCTCAACAGGCTTCATCCTCTGAAGACATGGGTCGATGGATTGGGATCTTATTGGCCGAAACAGGGTCATCCACTGACCCTGGAGCGCTACATTACGATTATATTGATGTGGAGATGACTGCAAATGTCATACAAACAGCTAAACAGACGTTCTGGTAAGATGCCTATCAAGGAGTTAAATATGGCTGAGGCTTTTGCAACTAAGTAATTTTCAGTTATATGTTTAAACTAGAGTTGTCTCTTAAACAGGAAAAAAAAAGTAGTTCAAAATATCTGCAGGTTTATTTTAATGTGCTTAATATGCATTCCATCTATCTTCCCCCTCAAAATATGTGTCTTTGGAGAATTTGTGTCCCATCCTAAGTACCAAAATTTGGGAAAGAGCTGAATGAGCTAGAGTGGTGTCCAGAGAAAAGTGACCAAGCTGGCAGAGGCTTCAAAAACTATTGACATTCAATGATCTCTGTGCTCCCATACAACCAGATGATTCTGTTATTAACTTTGGTTTGCAGGAACCTTATCAACCTTCACTCCTTTTCAGAGTGTGCTGCTACAGGGAAAGCTAAAGATGGGCAATCTTGGACCATATTAGTCCCAACTTTATTCAACTATTTTTGGCATTTCAATCCTGCCTGCCTTTTCTACTAGACAAGTAGTTTGATGAAGCTGACTCTGACTCTTGTTGAGATAAAGCCTGAATTTTTAGTGCCTTTATTGAATGCGTTTATTGAATTTAGATGTGAAGTTGCTAAAACTTTTTTAAAAAAATCTTTGCACCCAGGAACATTTCTTTGACAAAAATAGCTACAAAGATGCTTCAAAATCTGGAAATGATGAAAAGAAGACAAGGGGGAGTAGCCAGAGGAAGAGAAAGAAAAGAGGAATTAGGAATAATAACTGCTCATATTTATCTCGTTCTGTACAGGTTACCAAATGCTTTTTTTACTCACTGTCATAACCCTGTGAGGTAGTAGTTTGAATAGGAACATCCTGATTTTACAGATGAGGAAATTGTAGCTCAGAAAGGATTGAGTATCTTCTTTTAAGTCAAATAGCAATAAAACAGCATTTTGGGGGCACATTACAAATGTTATGCTATGTGATTCTCACAATAACCCTAAGAGGTGGCGCGATTAGCCATATTTTACAGATGTAAAAGTTAGGACTAAGAGATATAACTAGTACGTAGAAAATTTGGGATTTAAACTGAGGTAGGTTTTCAGACTCTTTGGCCCTTTGCTTTTTTTTTTTCTTCTTTTTTTTAATCTCATGCTATTTTCCATCACACTAAAGGTGGAAGCCTCATGCTCTGAGGACTTTTTTGTGTAGACCCTGCATAGCTAAAGTAGACAAGTCAAGGCAGGAAGTGTTTATTAAGTGCCTTCTTTAGCCAGGCAGGGTGTCAAGTGCTGGGGATAGAAAGAAAGGCAAAGGATGGTCCCTGCTTTCAAGGAACTCACAGTCTAATGAGGTAAATAATATGCTAACAACTACGTAAAAACAATCTAAAAAAGGGATAAATTGGAATCAACAGAGAGAAGGCACTAGAATGAAGGGCATCAGAAGGCTTCCTATAGAAAGTAGGATTCTCTTTTAAATCCTGAATCCTGAAGGAAACCAGGGAAGTTGGATGGCAGAGACGAGGAGCTAGAGAAGCCCAGGGAAAGGATGCCTACCTAATGGAAATATAGAGTTTGGAGATGGACTGTGTTGTACAAGGAGCAGCAGGGAAGACAGTGTCACTTGATCATATAGTACATGGAGGAGATCAAGGTGCAGGAAGACTGTAAAGGTGTGAAGGGGCCTGGTTATGAAGGACTCTAAAAGCCAAGTAGGATTTTATGTTTGATGCCTGAGAAAATAGGGAGACACTAGACTTGGAGGGCAGCTAGATGATGCAGTGGATAGAGTTGGGGGTCTGGAGCCAGGAAGACTCCTCTTCCTAAGTTCAAATCTAGCCTCCAACACATACGGGTTGTGTAACCCTGGGCAAGTCACTTAACCCTGTTTGCCTCAATTTCCTCATTTGTAAAATAAGCTGGAGAGGGAAATGGCAAATCACTCTAGTATCTCTGTCAAACGGGCTCACCAAGAGTGAGAAATGACTGAAGAACAACAAAAGAGGTGATTGAATAGTGTGTGTTTTAGAAAGAGAGAGAAAGGGAGAGGAGAGAGAGAGAGAGAGAGAGAGAGAGAGAGAGAGAGAGAAATAAAAGGGAGGAAGACAGTGAGAGACAAAGATGGGGGCAGAGACAAAGAGACAGAGAAAGAAAGAGAGGGAGGAGAGGGAGGAAAGAGAGGAGAGAGAGAAAGAGAAATGGAAATGATTGGAGAGGAACTTGAGGTAGGGAGACCATTCAGCAAGCTCTTGCAGTAGTCTAGGGGTGAGGTAATGCATGAGGTCCTACACCAGGGTTGTGACAGTGTCTAAAGATGAGGGGACTTGACCACTGATTGGATATAATGGGTGAGAGATAATGAAGAGTTGTGGATAACATCAAGGTTGTTGCCTGGATGATGAGGGGTGGGGGATAGAGTAGAGGGTGGAGAATAGTACTGCCTTTGACAATAATAACAAATTTAGGGAAAGAGAAAGGTTTCAGGAGAAACACAATGAATTCAGTTTAGGACAGGTTGAATTTAAGATACACTGGTCTAGGCTCAGTTCTGCCATATACTTTTCACTATGTATTCTATGTAATTCTCCTTCCCTCTCAGGCCTCATTTTCCTTAGCTGGGAAGCCATAATAATCCCTAAGGGCCAGTACTAATATTCTGTGATTCCATAGGCTATCAAATCTTCCTTTGGCTTTTGTCTTGTATTTATCTCCTCCCAAGAGTATCTGCTGCAGAGAGGCGAGCGGATGTAGGAAACAGATGTGAAGTTGTGGAATTATGTAATCAGCAAATGACAATAGATTATATTAATAGCTGGTTGTAAACTCACCAAGTCTGTATCTGAGAAAGAGAATTCTTTGGAATATAAAGAAAATCAATTCAAACCATTTGTGAGTTGCCTTACCCTATTTAATATGCACCCCACCATTTTATCTTTAAAAAATGTGGGGAGAGCTTGGGGACAGTTGGAGCAGCCCCCCTTTTATCTTGGCTAGCATTAGGCAATTAAGTACTTGCTGAAAACTTCACCAGTGAGATCTGTAGTTGGGAAGTGGTTTTTCTTTAAACAGAGTTAACTGGCGTTAAGGGAAAAGTGAAACCACAACCCAGACCTCATCATGACCATCTTTCACCAACTAAACTAACATATACCTAGAATGTTAGCACTACAAGGAACTTTAGCATATAGAATACAATATCAGGGCTGCAAGGGACCTTAGAACTTGAGTGCTACATTTAGAAGAGGCCTTAGAACAGAGAATGTTAGATCTGGAAGGGACCTCAGAACCTGGAATGTTAGAGCTGAAAAGGACCTTAGAACATTGATGGTCAGAGCTGAAAAGGACCTTAGAACAGAGAATGTTAGAGGAGGAAAGAAACTTAGAAGTGTTAGAGGTGGAAGGGACCTTAGAACATGGAATGTTAACATTGGAAGGAACCTCAGAAAATCAATGTTGCATCCAGAAGGAACCTAAAAATGTGGGTCAGGGCTGGAAAGGACTTTAGTAATCACTTAGTTCAGAAGTTCTTAACCTTTTTTTTTTTTGTACCATGGACTCTGGCAAGTTCAGGGAAGCCTGAGAAACTTTTAATAAAAGCCATCCTGTTAAGGTTTGCAAAACATTTTACATATATTATCTCATGTTATTCTGATAACAACCCTGGAAGGTAGATGCTGTTGTTATCCTCATTTTACAGATGAGGAAAGTGAGGCAGACAAGAGATTAAGTGACTTTCCCAGGGTCACATAGCTAGTAAATTTCTAAGGATGAATTTGAATTTAAGTCTTCCCAATTCCAAATCCAGTGTCTTTCCAGTGCACTACCAGCCTCGTGCATTCTCAAAATAATATTTTAAATGCATAAAGTAAAATATGTAGGATTACAAAAGAAACTAATTACATTGAAATAGTTATCAAAGTATTTTTCTCATTCAAAGTCACAAACCTGAAATTTTCCCATAGATCTCAGTTTAAGAATACCTGATCTGATCTAACTCACTCATTTTACCAATGAGACTACTGAAGCCTAGAAACAGAAAGTGGCTTACCCAAAGCCAGAGTAGGAATGAATAGCCAAGCCAGAATTGGAACCAGAGCTGACTGAGTGACCCAGACATTTGAAAAAAAAAAAAACTTTACCAGGAAATTCCCAGTACCAGTTCGGGGTTTTCCTAAGCACAAGTGAGACATTCTTACTTCTGCTTTTTTATGTGAACAACAGTAGAGCCTTATTAAATGCTTACAATTTTATTTATGATATTATTGAACGATAACATTAATTTGCTTTGGTACTGTGGCCTTCCGGTTGTTACTTATATACAAAAATTAAATAAATTCCAGTGGGATTCCCAGTCATTAGTTAATCCCAACCTCAGTTGACCTTGAATAAGTTATTTTCCTTATCTGCAAAATGAGATGGTTCTAACAGAGTGTTGGCCAGCCCTGGAGTCAGGAAGACCTGAGTTCAGATGTGACCTCAAGACACTTACTAGCTGTGTGACAATGGGCAAGTCACTCAACTCTGTTTGCCTCAGTTTCCTCTCTGTAGAATGAGCTGGAGAAGGAAATGGCAAGCCACTCCAGTATTTCTGCCAAGAAAACCCCAAATGGGGTCACAAAGAGTTGCATATGACTGACAACAGCAAAGGGTTTTTCAATTCTGTTGCTCAATGATTCTTTACAAATTAAGATTAGTAATAGAAGTAGGAAGGTTTGGTGAAAAGCGTACTGTGCTTAGAAACAAGACACTGGATTTTTTTTGTCCCAGATTTCCTAAGTAATTATGTGATTTGGGGGCAAATTAATCTCCTCTGAACCTCAGTTCCTCCTCTGCAAAAGAGGATCAGTAATACCCTCCCTACATCATAGGAAGTGCCTGGTAAACAACAAAGGATTAATAGAAAGTCAGTAGTTGCTGTTATGATGAAAGGAAAAACTGCCACAGCGTACAAAATGTGAAGACCATTATTCCAAACTTGCCAGATCCACACCACTTGGGTTGAATTATAAGAAAGTGAGTTTAGAGTTGTTTAGCTA